GAAGAAAATTGAAAAATAAAAATACAAGAGAAGGAGAGAGGGGGTGAGAATAGTAGTGGATGCAGTTCATTTTATTTGGGCTGAATCCAAGGGGGGTGCGCGTAGCATATTGGGCCCAGCTAACCCAGAATCAGTCACTAAACCAAACGCAGCGTTTGGCTAAGTGATACGCTGCGTTTCGCTGGCTTCAGATTTCCCTCCACTTTGAGTTCAAACCACGGCCGTTGGATTGTGAGAATAAGTCAAGGACTTGGAGCCATCTGACGGCTGGAGTTCATCTTCTCCACACAAACCCTAGGGTTTTCAGAAAACCCTAATTTCGAACCAGAACTTCCACTCGATCGTTCTCACTGATGGCTGGGTGAAATCAAGAATTTCCAAAAGCAATCTTGCTCTACCAATTACCCTGAACACAATGATATCAATATTTGGCCATGAAACCTCCTGAATCGCTCTAACAGAAAGCACGAAGGTTGGAGTTCCACCATGATTCTCTGCTATCAACCTTAACCAAACTTCAATCTAATGATATAAATCTGTTCCACATGTTACCCTAGCCATTCTAAACCACCTCATATCCATTAATACACATTAACCCGCATGCTATCAATCTTGCAAAAAATGGTACCCTGCCTCGAAACCTCATGGATCCTTCCCTAATTCTCAGAAAACATTCCTCTAACCTAGCATGTTGATCTTACACCTAAGATTCTAACAGAATGCTCATAATTAAGGACTTCTAAATCAAGATACCAACCTGCTAAGCTTCAATGGTGAGGGGTGTTAGGACTTGATTCAGCACTTGAAACCTTCTCTAAATCTTCCTCCAATAATGGACACCTTTCTGTTTGCAAGAGTTGAGGGGGATGAAGCTTGTGGAAGAAGGAATTGCACCTTACTTGATCTTGAAGAAATCCAACAATGGCACTTTCTCTCTCACTCTCTCCACTAAACTCAGCAATTTTTCACCAACCTCTGAACTCTCTTCATGGCCCTCTTTAAATAACAAGTGATGGAAGAGGCTAGAATCACCTAGATCTTTCTAGAAAGTATTGAAAATATCACCACATGAGAACTTGAAATATCATGATATCTTCTTTCACACTTTGCCAAAATCCCTTGAATATGTCTTTACATGAGATATTAAGTGTGTATGAAGGAAATCAGCCCTTACATTTGGCTTGTGTAAGGTTTTTCAACATTGCCTTATAATGCAAGTAATAGATTTACAAAGAAAGTCCCTTTTTTAGACCTCAAATGAAAAATCTATTTGAACCAAAGTTCTCAAAATAATGTTTCCAATCAAAATGATATATTGGATGACCTATTTTGGATTCCTAGATCCTCCAAACCACTTTTCAAATTCAACTTTTCAAACTTATATGCCATTTTTAGTTCATTTTTGACCAATCATGTAACTTCATGCTATGAGCTTTTCCAACAATTTGTGACCTTCTTTCTAGACCTAAAATCACATTTTGAACAACTTTCATGTTTTGAGTTTTTCCATTTGAGGCTTGGAAATAGGAGTTTTAGGCATTGGCTAAAATGACCTATAACTGACAAATGACCAAAATACCCTTGTCTTGTTCAAACCATAAGTTGAGTTCCATAAATCCTATCAAGGACTTCTACCACTCAAATTAAATCTAAGAAGATGCCCTCCAACATTCATGTTGACCAAGAAACCATAGGAATCATCCTACTAGGGCAAAAGTTGTCTGCAAGTTGGGTGACTTTCAAGGACCCAGATACACACACCTCAGCTGACCTGTAATTTGTCAAAACCATAACTTGAGCTCTGCAACTCCTATCAAGGATTTCCACCACTCAAATTAAAGCTAAGAACAAGCTCTACAACATTCATGTTGTGGGGAAGATGAGATATCAATCACATCTAGAGCTAAAACTGCCTGGAAGATAGGGATCAAACTAGGGTTTTTTCACTGACAATCCTTGGAGACCCTAACTTGAAACTTCTCAAACTCCTCAATCATGATGAGTTGGTCTAGGAATCATCTTTGTAACATCTTTATGCATCATTCCATGATCTCATAGCCCTTGGATTAGGTCTCAACCTCCTCCAAATTTCCAGTTATCCTAGGGTTGACCCAGTCAAAACCCTAATTCTACCAATCATGGTTGAATCTTCTGAACCCTTGCATAATGACCTCTCTGGGCTTCATGATGGCTATCAAGACATCTCATAGGCTTTCTCCAAACATCAAGTTCATTCTCAAAGTCTCAGAATCATCTGAGGGGCACCCACAACTCTCAAGCTATGAAGCACACAACCCTGGTTCCAACCAATTCCTCTAAAGATCAACTTTCAAACACTAGATGGATAAATAATTGTTGGTCAAATTTTGGGGTGCAACAAGTTGGAACAGGGAGAGATTTTTATTAAGGTGAAGCATGTTGATGTTGAATTGCGTATCCAGATGAAGTCGAAGAAGACATAAAAGATGTTTTCGAAAATGAGGAGACTGATAATGACTACCTGCTAGCAAGAGACTGGTCGAGCAGAGTCATCAAGTCACCTCAGAGACTTGGGTATACAGATCTTATAGCTTATGCCTTAATCTCTGCAAGTGAGGTTCTAGACGAAGAACCTAGAGACTATAAGGAAGTTATAAGGAGTCGAAAGAAGACTGAATGGATGAAGGTCATGGATGATGAGATGAAATCTCTTCATGATAGAAACACTTGGGAACTGACCAAGAAACCTGCTGGATCCAGGTTAGTCAGCTGTAAATGGATTTTCAAAGTTAAGAAAGGAATCGAAGGAGTGGCATCGAAGAGATACAAGGAAAGATTGGTCGCTAGGGGGTTCACTTTGAAAAAAGGTGTTGACTTCAATGATGTGTTCTCTCTTATTATGAAGCACGAATCCATTCAAATGTTGCTTGCCACGGTGGCACAGTTCAACCTTGAACTGGAACAAATGGATGTGAAGACTGCGTTCTTGTATGGTGATCTAGATGAAATAATCCTTATGAGGCAACCTGAAGGGTATGTCGAAAAAGAGAAGGAAGGTTATGTGTGCAAGCTGAATTGATCTTTATATGGACTGAAACAATCTCCTCGACAGTGGAATAGAAGATTCGACAAATTCATAGCACGCATAAGTTTCATTAGAAGTCAGTTCGACCACTGTGTTTACTTCATATTTCGACCTGGTAATTCATTTGTTATTCTGTTGCTTTGTATGGATGATATTCTAATAGCAAGCAATAATGTCGAAGATGTAATGAGGGTGAAGGCTGAACTCAATAAGGAGTTCGACATGAAGGATCTGGGAGCTGCGTCCAGGATTCTTGGGATTGACATCCGAAGAGATAGAAAACGGTCGGAATTATGCTTATCTCAAGAGACGTACCTACGGAAGATTCTCGAAAAGTTTGGTATGTCAAATTCAAAGCCTGTTCTGACTCCGACAAACCCTCAATTCAAGCTGAGTACAGATCAGTGTCCTAATACTAATGTCGAAAGAGCTTATTGAATAGCATTCCATATACTAATATAGTGGGTTCTTTGATGTATCTTATGGTTTGTACTATACCCGACATAGCATATGCAGTAAGTCTTGTAAGCAGGTACGCGGTGAATCCTGAAAAGGCTCACTGACAAGCATTGAAGTGGATTCTAAGATACATAAATGGGTCTCTGAATAGAGTCCTAATTTATGGTGGAGCCTTGGGTGAAGATAGTAAAGCAGTATTTGAAGGATATGTCGACTCTCATTATGCAAGTTGTATGGATTCCAGAAAATCTATTTCTGGATATGTGTTCACTATGTTTGGGACAACAATCAGTTGGAAAGCAACACTTCAGAAGGTCGTTGCCTTATCAACCATTGAAGCGGAATATATCGCCCTAACTGAAGTTGTGAAGGAAGCATTCTGGCTTGAAGGTTTTGCAAAGGAGCTGAAACTTCAAGATCGAGTCATCACTGTTAAATGTGATAGTCAAAGTATAATACACTTGTCGAAGAATTTAGCCTATCATGAGCGAACCAAACACATTGATGTGATGCTACATTTCATCAGAGGGATAATCGAGCGTGGAGAAGTCCAAGTGCTGAAGATTTTGATAGATCATAATGCTGCTGATATGATCACCAAGGTGTTGCCTAGTTGCAAGTTTTTCCACGCTATGCAGTTGATAAAGCTGCATGAAGAAAACTAATTTCTTAATGTTATAGAGTTAGATCCAAGGTGAAGATTTTCGAAGTCTGTTTGCGAGTAATGTGTGTTGCATTCGAAGTTTGTTCTAACATGCATTAGTCAATATTGCTAGGTTGTTAGCATGTTGAATTGGACCTTGCTTGTAACCTCAATTGTTTAAGTTAGCTTGTACCCTAAGTTAACTTGTAATAGGTAATTGTTAAAAAAAACCATTAGGTTAGTGTGTTATTTTTTCTTATAAATAGCATGATAGTCTCTCATCTTGTATAAGGAAAAATAGGAAGATAAAATCCTAATTCAAGAGAGACATTATTTTGTTATTCTTGTATACTTGTAATCTTGTTTGATAGAGAAAGGAAAGAATAACAGTTTATAACCAATTCTTGTTGTTTCTTCTTGTTCTTCTTACTTATTTTCCTTGTTAATCTTAACCCTTGTGTATTTCTTGAATATAAAAAAACTATTTATATTTTGTTTTAAGACATTATATTCACAACAGTCTCAAATATATTTCAGTCTCAAATCTATTGGAAAAAATTTTGAGTGTCTGAGAACCCTATTCATCTAAATTCAAATCATGTCAAGAGAACCTTTATTCATTTCATTGAAGTGTTTGGGGGAACTCCCTTTTGTTCACTGAACTCAGGGGTCATAAACAATGTCCTTTTACATTTTACAATTGATTATTACATATAAACCAGTACTAGTGAATCACAAACTATAACTTTACATTTCCATCACTTATTTATCCTTTACTCTCTATAAATTCTCCCTTGACTCATACTATCATATAGACTCCAACATCACTTTTGTTCACAAGATTAACAATTCAACTAATGAACTAACTTCTTGCTTGAGAAGAATTTCAACCTTGTGCCTCCCAATCATGCTCCAATCCTCACTAGCTTCAGAACAAACACATTTACCATTTCCAAGGTAAATTCTTGGACGAGGATCAACTATCATTTTCTCAAGGGAAATTGCATTCTTTAGTAGATAAATTGCAATTGCAATTTCACTTGAGTGACCTCTAATTCCTGTTATAGTTATTTCCTTTAGATGATTGTGTGGACTTGTTGGAAACCAATGTGTTAACTCTTCATCAATGTTAAAATAGGTTCTTAGCTGCAAAATTTTGAATTTCATAATTGCATTAAAATAAAATAAAACTCAATAAATTTCATTGAAAATTCAAGGATCACATTGCATTGTAAAAGACATTTGCATACATACATGAAGCTTAAGTTTTGCAAGAGATGGACATGCATTGAGAGCAATTGGTATCCATGAAAAGTCTTGTCTAAATATGGCTACTTTTATAACTTCAAGATGCTTCAAATTTTGAAATGTGTGGAATCTATTTGTCATAACCTCGCCCTAAATAACAAAACATTACATAAACAAAAATATATCAAACACATATAACAATTAGTAATATATAAATGGATGAAAATTTGCATAAATTTAAAATAAAAAAATCTTGATCTTATGTAGCAAATGCATTTATGTTTGAACTTAAACGCTAGTAGAGAATCGAGCTCATTTTAACTTTTTAAAAAATTCCAATCGTCAAAGTAATCTAACTGTTAAAAATTAAATTAAGATAACGATTGAGATTTGATTATATAGACAATGAAAAAATCAAACATGTATTTCAACGAGATATTAAATACTTACCGTGCAACTGCATTCAAGGAACAAATTTTTGAGGCGAGGAAGATCGGTGGAAAGTTTCCAAACTAGCCAATTTTCACCATTATGACCTTGAGATTCAATGACTCGACCAAAGAAGCTTTTAAGCATAGGGGTGTCAAAAAAGAATTCAACTTTGCTTCCAACATATTCCAAGGTCTCTAAAGTGCTGCTTTTGAGAATAATTGCCTTCAATTGGAGACAAAGATTCACTTTCAAGTACTTTAACTCCTTGCAAAAAGAGTGCTCAATTTTCAAGTAATCCATATTATAACATTCCGAAAAACTCAACCATTCAAGGCTGTTACAACTCGACAATAAAATTTGAATATGTTTTTCAGATTTCAAATCAACTTTGAAGAGATCCAAAGTTTCGAGTGTACTAAAACTATAACATGATTTTTTTGGAGCAAGTACACAATGTGCTAAGCGCAAACACTTCAAAAACAAATTGAAACAAACAATGTTATCACAAGGGAAAACATAACATGGACCATCATTAGGAGCACTAAGATGATACTCTTCAAACAAACAAAGATCAATCTCCTCTACATTTCGTTCAACCGCAAAACGAATCCATTCATCGAGATCACTACAACCATACCCTTTACTACGAAATGTGAAACAAATCTTTAACTTGTTGATTTTTCGCACGTTTGTAACACTCGACAAATATTTATTCACATTACTCACAAAAATAGAAGCTCTCTTCATTTTGATATTAAAAATCAATACTTTGCTTAATTGACATATATTTGAAAATGAGTAATCTTTCACTAACATATTTTCTGAATCAAAAACAAGGTTGGTTGGATTGGTGAAAACGTATCTCCAATTTGAAGATAGAACACTTGTTTTGACAGCTTCATTGATCTTAAGAGAAGATAAAATGTTACACAATAAACTATAAGGTAATGTAGTAATATAATCTTGATTAGTTTGTTTGACTACCCTTTGTTTCTTCATTTTTATTATTGATACTTTCTCTCAAAACATGAGAAATTAGTGGCCATAGCCAAAAGGGAAGGTAACCATGTATCAAAAGGGTATTTATAATAAAGGGTAGAGAATTGAGTACGGCATAATCGAAGTGTAAAATTTGTCTTTATAGATGAATCATGAATGTGGCTTTAATAATAAGCAAGATATGTTAGAATATGGTCCCAAATTTTAATTTGACTATAGTACAACTAAGGAGACAATAATAATATAGTTAATCCCCCAACCATGCCGGCTATACTTTAATATATGAATAATATCAATTAAGATATATTAGTGTCATCATAAATCTTCATTTGACATATTAGTGTCCTCATATGACATATAATAACAATATTACATATCAATTAAAATCAAGACTATAAAAAATAGATGGCAAACAAACAACAAACTATACCCTACATTTTTTGAGAGGGTAAAACCAATCCTTTTAAAAACTAAATTTATTATTCTAGGTAACACTCATTTTATTATATATTGTTGTCAGTAATATATTTATATTAAATTGTAATTTCTTTTATAATACTAATAAATTATTAGTCTTATTTTTTATAATATTTAAAAAAAAAATTCTTTTAAATTTTTTATTTTAACCTCTTCATATCATCAATAATGAAAAATAATATTTAAAGTCTTTTGAAACTTTGAAGATAGTTATCTAGAAAAATATTCAGCCTAATAACAATATTGATATTGTTAGATGAACTTAATTTGAAGATAGTTATGACCCATGCGTAACATATGAGTAAAAAGATATATTAAAATATAGATTTGTCTAATATGGATCCTTCAAAAAGTGATTAAAAATAGATTCTTAACATTTTAGTGAAAAAAATAATTTTATAAATAAAAAATATAAAGTTTAAAAATTTATTAAAATATTTAAGGGTTTATATTAGACAAGGTCCCAAAACCATTAAAAAGTATTTCATGTTTTGTTTCTATTGAACTCGTAATAATCGAACATATGATTGTAAATAAATCAGAATTACTTTCTCTGTCGTTTAGCCCTTAGTTTTGCCGTTGAGAACAATAGAAATAAAGTTTACAACATTTTTTAATTTTCAAGAAGATTCTGAGATAAGAGGTGACAATTTATTACTAATCTCACCACTTTTATAAACTGTATTTAATAAAACACGTCTTTGGGGGCATGGCAAAGGTTACATTGATACTCGGAAGTGTAAATTTTAAAGGAATATATAAACAAAAAATTGAAAATGTTAGCAAATGATGACATGATTATTAATACATTTTTTTTGGCTAAGCAAAAAAGGCACATAACAGTATCACTAGAGATATATTTGAATTTTTGGTGTGAAATATGTTTTAGTCATAAAAATATATTATATTTTACCTTTTATTTCTTTCAAAATATCAAATATTTTTTATCACAAACTTAAACTCCACTTTAAAAAGTTAAGTATACAGAAAAAAAATAAAATACGAAATATTTATATATCTTGAATAAAAGAAAAGGATGATTAGTTTGGTGATGAAGATCTTTGTATAAGGTTTTTGATGTGGTTGAGATGGTTTCTCGATGAATAGAGATGAATATGTTTTAGTCATAAAAATATATTATATTTTACCTTTTATTTCTTTCAAAATATCAAATATTTTTTATCACAAACTTAAACTCCACTCTAAAAAGTTAAGTATACAGAAAAAAAAATACGAAATATTTATATATCTTGAATAAAAGAAAATGATGATTAGTTTGGTGATGAAGATCTTTGTATAAGGTTTTTGATGTGGTTGAGATGGTTTTTCGATGAATAGAGAGGTTACATGCAAAAAAGGTTAGTATTCCGACACTCGAGTTAGTATGAGATTGAACTGAAACTTTGCGAATGTGAGTTGTATCGTACTTGAGCATGACTTGGGGTCACGCTTATATATGGGAGACCGTTGTAACCATCTCTAGTTTGTCAGGCATGGAACGTCGGCGACTTGGATGATCGATGATCCAATGGCTCAGTACAAAAGGGGTGCTTAAGTACGATGATACTTGTGGAATAGTCACATGTGCATCAGCGTGAGGAGTACCTTAAAGAGGTCGAGACGGTCTTATGGGCCATTTATCATCTCATCACACACTACAAGAAATATTGCAATTTTCCACATGGTATTCTCGCCACTGAACAAAATTTGCGACGTGGGTAGAGCACGTCGGAAAAGTAACGGTGGGACCATTTTCCCACGTTAAATTCATGTCACTAAATTGTGAAATGGAATACACGCCACAAACCACCAAATTAATTGAAAAAATTTCCACGTGAAAATCACGTCACTAATTAGTGACGTGAATTTCACGTCGCAAATCACTTTTCCCAAAGTCCCTACAGCGTGTTCAGTATTGCAGCATGCAAGTTTTCTCATGTGATTTTCATGTCACTAAGTAGTGACATGATTTCCATGCCACAAACTAAAATCTTTTTTAAGCTTAGTTTTCACTTCACTGTTTAATTTAATAATAAAAATTAAATATTAATAAATACAACGAGTTAATAAATAATAAAATATAAAAATTAAAATACAAATATAAAAATATAAATACAAATATAAAAATATAAAATCTAATTATACCTTTTAACCTAATAAAAATAAATTTAATATTAATTATTTGTAAATTAATATTTTTTCTATTTGTTTTAATATTATACATTTTACTAATTATTTTTGTTTTGAACTCTATTTTTTAAAATAATTTTCTTTTATAAATTGCGTTTTTAATAAGTCTACATAACATATTTTTACAAGTAATTTTTAAAAAAAAAATACTTTTTAATAAAAATACTTCTATTTACTGAATACTTTTTCTAAAAATATTTTCTTACTATAAAAACATAAAAATATAAATACAACTTTTTAACCTAATAAAAATAAGTTTAATATTAATTATTTGCAAATTGATATTTTTTTCTATTTGTTTTAATATTATATATTTTACGAATTTTTTTTGTTTTAAATTCTATTTTTTTAAAAATAAAGTTCTTTTATAAATTGTGTTTTTAATAAATCTATTCTATAACTATATATAAAGGGGATACAACATTTTGGTGTGGCCTATTTTTGTTCCAAAATTACCCTTCATTAATGCTTAATTTCATATTTTTATTCCATATTTACCCTTTACCTTAATGCTTATTTTCTCACATGATTTATTTAATAATACTAAATAATAACTGTAAAAAATAACTTCCCACTATTTCCAATAGTCCTTCCTATTATTAACGTTCATACTAACTCCTCTATGCAAAGTGAGTCTCTCTCCAAGCCATTTACAAACTATTTATCTCAATTTGTCAAACTATTTGCAAATTAATCATATCCCTATCTCTCTCTCTTTCTTTGTCAAACCGTGCATACCTCCATTATTGGAGCGCAAATAATTGATCTATTACTTCATCTATAATTTATTAAGAGAATTCAATCTTCACAGGTACCTTTGTTTGAAATACAATGGAATGAATGTATTAAGTAGTCTAGGTCAAGGCTCTCAACAAACTTATTCTGATATTATTTTTTTTACTTTGCCTGTGTTAATGAATTATGTTAAGAATAAGTTTAGATCAAGACCCTCATTTATCTTTCATATGGTAACTACATTTTCTATGCCATTTGACATCCTATTTTGCCAGTTTCAATCAATAATAAATAAAAATTGGTGCCTCATTTTTTATACAACCAATGCTCTACTACAAACCATACAGTTTCATCTTTAAATTTGTTTGTCTGATTTATAATTCTTATATATTTACTATTAAATTGTATTTATTTTTAGCAACGAAATTATACCCAAATGATAATTAACTATATTCATCTTTCTTACGGTTATGTTTGAATTGACGGAATGTGACGGAATGGAGCAGAATGAAATGAAATAATATTATATTTTATTGTTTGGATTGGGAAAAAGAGGATAAATAGAGCGAAACATTATGCATTTCATTCAATTCTATTACTCTCATTTTTGTTCCATATTTGTCCCTTACATATTGTTTAAAATTCTCACAAAACCATTTATTTAATAACACTACATGATAATTGTACAAAAATAACTTCCCACCAATTTCAATCCAACCGTCCTTTCCATATTATTTACGTTCATACTACTTACTCTCGCTTGCAAAACCAATCTCTCTGAGCCACTCACAAATATTTCACATTCACTTTGCCAAGTTACTTTCAAATTAATTATTTCTCTTTCTCTCTTACTTTGCGAAGGCTTAAGTAACTCCATTATTGTAGTGAAAGGAGTGGTACATTACTTCATTATCAAAAGAATTCATTTTTTGTCCGGTATTTTTTTAAAATATAATTGAATGAATTTATTCCAACATAAACATTAAAAAAAGAAAGAAGGAAATTCAATAGAAATGCTGAAGAAAAGTTAATATAAAAATTAAGAGAGTGTGTTTATGGATTAAGAGAAACAGAGGTTTTTCTTTTGTTTTATGATTAGTTTGGTTATCACACCTTAAGTTATGTAAACCCAAATACGCTATATAACTTCTTATAAGTTATTTATACACCAACCTCTTATAATTGCTAGGTAAACATTAAATTGCTAGAGAAAAGTTCATTTATATTTATATCAACGAGATGTAGGAGTTATAATTTAAGTGGCTTTGATTATCAAATTTTTTTTCTATTTTCTATTGCAGTTAATTTTTTTAGAATGTTTGATGTATTTGTCGGGTATGATGCTTTTGTAACTGCTAGCCATTGGTTTTTAAATTATGTGAACTATTCATCAACCATTTTTTTTAATCTTCAATTGAGTAAACAGTTGGTTGTATATTATTTATCCAAGTGTTAGGAAAAGAATAAAATTGTTATTTAGAAATTGAGAGCTAGCATATACGCTAAATAATTGTAGCTTTGAAAAAATTCATTTAAGAGAGTATTTAGAAATAACTGTGACATACTAAATAAATTCATCTGTAACTGTAACAATTTTA